GCTGGTCTCGAACTCCTGAGCTCAAGCAATCCTCCCGCCTCGGCCTCCCAGAGTGCTAGGATTACAGGCGTGAACCACTGCGCCTGGCCTCATGACAACTTCTTTTACCAGTGAATTTTAAAAAACAACCTGGTATAGCTTTTTAATATACTGTATTCTATTTTAAAAGGTCATTATTTCTTCAGCATTATGGTCCAGTTCCTTATTTTGACACACCCATAGTTTACAGGCCTCTCAAAGTTGAGCACAGTCATTATCTGCTGGGGGGCTTGTTAAAACACAGATTGCTGGATCCACCCCCAGAGTATCTGACTCACTAGGCTTGGGGTGGGGCCCATAAATTTGCATTTCTATTGGGTTCCTTGGGATGCTAATTGTGTGGTGGGGGCCACTCTCTGAGAAACTCTGCTTTAGATAAAATAGTGTAAGAGAAGATGGCAATGGGGTCTCTGACAATGGTGATGGAGACAAAGAAGTAGATGAATTTGACCCAGCGTTAGGAAGTTGGATCAGCAGGGTGTATCCATGGTTTAGGCAAGAGTGATGGTGAGGAAAGGGAAGAGGTGGTTGGTAGCTTGAATAAATCAATGGATGAACTGACATGGGAAAGAGGGAGGGATGGTTGGATCATGGTGGGAAATCATGAGTTCCATTTTGAAAATGATAAAGTTTCACTGAAATATTTTTAAAATTCAAGCATAGTGTCTGGCAGAGAGTACGTTGTCAATAAATGATAATAGCTATTGCTATTGCTGCCATTACTATCTTTACTATGAAAACTGAAGTATCCTAATCACCCCATCCTGCTAGAGGTCACCTCCCCAACCCCATCACTCAGCAACCACATTCCAGGGCTAGGAATTACTCTTCTGTGTGAGCCAAGAGACACAGGTATGAACAAGGAAATTTTGTATTTATAGATATAGCCTCACCCAAGGAGTGGTAGGGCAAGGAAGAGCAAAAGGAGGGAAAAGGAAAAAGGTTCTAATTCATAGAGGTGCCTGCATTATCACAGGTAACCTCACAACAGCTGTATTAAATGGGAGGAGTTTTTTGCATTTTATAGATGGGATAAATAACTTGCCCAATGTCTTATAGCAACTTGATTAAAAATTAAAACCAAGCCTTGTTTTGACTTCATTATATCTGTGCTTTCTACTATGAAACAGTAACTTTACTGTTGTTAAAAAGGTAAATTGAGGCATAATACAATTTTTTTTTGTAGAAGAGTGTATCTGAGCAAACAACGATTCATGAATCAGGCAGCTCTAAACCAGAAGTGGTCCAGGAGCTCCACTGCAGGAGTGCAAGGGGAGCCTTTTACAGGATGGACACGGAAGTAAAGCAAAGCAAACATTTGATTGGTTACAGTTATACAGTTGCTTTACTTGTCTATCCCCTTGGAAAGCCCCTGGTTACATAAGTTTGTTGGCTACTTCTGATTTGTTGAGCTTAAGTTCTATTTTTCTCCAATGTAAGCATTTATAAGAAATAGCTCAAGTTAAGTTTTGCTGATGTTTGTGAATCAAGCAAGGTTGAAGTCACTTATGAGGTTTAACTGGTTTTGTCTGCTCAGGGATTCTTTAGTCCAGTTCTCCATTTTAATTTTCTTTAACACTGCCAACCAATAAACTAGTTATCTTTCTTATGTTGGCATAATGACCTAAATAGGCTGCAACTATACCCTCAATGCCCTACAACTTCTAGACTAGTGGCTTTTAAACTTTTGTAATCCTGACCCACTGTAAGAACAACGTTTTACAAAGCAAGCCAGTATAAATATGTGTATGTGTTGTACGTTTACATGTATAACAATATGATGAAGACCCATTTTCAATAAATAATACTTATTGAGATCGCTATATTATCAATATTCTCACTGAATGCATTCTGATAGTTTTCTGTTCATTTGTTACAATAAGTGTTTATCAGGATCCACAGAATTGATTTCACAATCAACTTTTGGGCCTCTACTAGAAGTCCAGCAAATCCTTTTCTAGATCCCTTTCCTTGGAATTGACTCACCAACATCATAACGATTCCAACCAGCTGGACACGAGCCTTGATGGACAGGGAAGAGGGAGAACAGGATTCCTGTGTACTCATCTTTAGTGAAGTATCTACACCTGCCTACCTTGCAGAGCTTGGTGGGAATCAAATGGAGTACAATATAGATGAAAGAAATTTGAAAATAATCAGGTTGTTCTTACTTTGATTCTGCCCCATATAGTTATGTTCCCCCCAACTCATGCTTCGGGTTCTCTGGAGCCCATTTCTTCACCTACAAAATGAAAGATTTGACCCAGATCTTCTTCAAGGCCCTTTCCTACCCTCATGGGATAGAATTCTATTATAAAATGTTCTCGGTAAATGTTACCCTATGGAACTCTGAAGTAGTGATAATGATGATGATGATGATGACGACGACGGTGAAAGGGAAACTTTGTTTAAAAACCCTGAAGGAACTTTTGGAAGAAGAGTGAAGTTAACTGAAGGAGAAAATACTCAATCTTGGGAGCTGTAATCAGACTCCTTTTGAGTTAATGCAGAGAAGCTGATGAGTAAAGAAGTTCGGCTTCATTTTTAAAATAATCAACAAAATTATTTACGTTCCAGAAGTACAAAAGTGACCTTAGGCAATACATCAAACACAAGTTTCATATTATATGCGTATTATATTATCTCATTTCTAAGTCCATTTATTAGGGAGCACCAGGAAAAAGGGCTTAGCTATCTAGGGTAGATTGATTTCTATTAGTGTCAAAATGCTGGCTAAGGTTTTATTATATTGATGTGTGTGTATGTGTTGTCACTAAATTGTATTTGTCTTTAGATGACCTTGAAACATACTGTCACCTCTGGGGAAGCCGGTGGCAATTGGTGTGGCTTTGCCTCATTTTGGATGAGGAAACTGCAGCACCAAAAGATAAAATGCTTTGCCCCGGGTCATCTGATGAATGGAGAAGAAAATGACTCCTGGTAGGTGCTGGAGAGGCAGTCCTTATCCCAGCCGCGTGGCTGCCCTGCTGGCATGACTCCTTGCTCAGTCACTTACCAGACAGTATTTATGCAGAGAACAAGCTGCCCCTTGGAAGCAGCACAGTTCCGTGCATTTTCTTGAATTGAAAAAAAATCACATGGCTAACAAATTGAAATTTTTAAATATACCAGTAAAATCAACTGTAAAAGCAAGCTATTTACCTTTTCTCATCATTTACTTTTTTTTCTTATAGAAATGACAATTTTTTTTTTAAAGCCCACCTGCTTTGATGGAATTTATTGGGATTCACAGCATCATAGAGCACAAGGGAGCCTTGGAAACCCATCTGGCCTAACTCTGGCATCAGCCCAGGAAAGCGCCAGGCCAGCTATATTGACTCAGAGTCCAGTGCTCTTTCTACTTCAGCACAATGCCTTGATACTATCAATGAAAGACTTTCTCATTCTTTTTGTTTCCTTTCAAAAATATTATCATTAGGAATTGTGCTTATAAACTTTTAAAAAGTTTTAACATTTTGAACTTTCCTATAAGGACTCCATCCATTGCATTGATTGGTGCTCCTGACAATTAATGCTTTAGCAAGGGGATTTCAAGGACACGCTCTGATCCTCTTTATTTTATGTGGGCTCAGAAGGAAAAAACAAAACAAAGCAAAACAAAAAAACCCAGAAAACAACAAACGGGAGAGATCTCAGAAACAAGCAAGGGCTCTCTCCATGGGGGTACCTCTTTCTCTTTTCTTTCTTAATTTTTTTTTTTTTTAACCACACAGCTCTTTAACTTAGGAGCAGATTCCTTCTGGTGATTTCTTAACTGTTTCGCAAAGTTATCACCAAATCAAATGTGACAAGTATTGTCATCTCCCAGAGAAAATTCTCTGAGTGGTTTTTTAAAGATAGACTCACAAAAGGAAAAATAATCTCTACAGGGCTATTTCCCTTAGAAAATAAATCCTTCATGGACCTTCCCCTTGGAAAAACACACACAGGGCCCCAAGTGTGTGAAGGCTGAGTGGCCACAACCACTAACATTTAGTTTTGAAAATAGCCCTTCCCTGTGTTTCTTAGCGTAAAGGAACCATTAGAACCCAACGCACACTTCCCCTCATCAGCTGAAAGCGCCGGCAATGCATGGCACTGTGGGCACTCAGGAGCCTAAATGCCCCCACTCATCAAAATGATCCAAACAATGGCTCGTGCCCGAGCTTTCACACTTGTTTTTCCGCGGAGTCTTGGCTGACAGAGGCAGGGCTGTAATTCCTTAGGTCGCTTGACTTCACGAGGGGCGAGGTGTGCATTGTAACGACACCGACTACTCCCGAACCCTTTCGGGAGGAGTAGCTTAAAGATTAACTTTGTCAAGGTTGTGTGACCAAAACGTTTCCGTGAATAGCGTGATTGGGACCCCGTGCGGGCCGGGGAGCTCAGCGCCGCTGCTCTTTCAACAGGCGATTTGTTCTCCTGTCCGCGGCTCATTTCCATGCAAAGAGCCTGACATCAGAGCACCTTTTGTTGCTAAACGCTTTCTTCAGCCTCGAGGGGAGAGTCATGTGGAGCTGGAAGAGCTCATTTTGCAGAGAGGGGTCCCGGGGAGCTCCCTCCAAGTTGCAGAGGCGCCGCGGGCACCCTGCAGGGCCCTGCCCAGACTTGCTGGAAGAGCAGGGTGGCATGCCTTAGGTAGCTGGTCCCCGTCACAGGAAGAAACGCCTTTGCAGCGGGTTTAATTGCTTCTGGGCTGGGAGAAGGCCCCGCCGTACCACTCGGTGGTGCGGACTTTGCCTCCCGCTACCCTGTGGCCGAGCCGAGTTGGGATGGGAAAGTTTCTCGAGTTGTCAGTGGCGCTGCCCGCGGCCACCTAGGGCCGAGGTGCGCGCGCGTGCGAGGGGCCCCCGCCGGGCGGCCGGGGCATGCGGCGCGGGGGCGCGGCTCGGTGACGCGGCGGGCGGGGACCCGGCGCCGAGGGCCGGCCGGCCGCGCGCTGTGCGGGGCGAGGGCGCCGCGGGGACCGGGACGCACGGCCGGCGCGCGGGACGCGGCCATGGAGGACGCGGGAGCAGCTGGCCCGGGGCCCGAGCCCGAGCCCGAGCCGGAGCCCGCGCCGGAGCCCGAGCCGGGCGCTGGCACGTCCGAGGCGTTCTCCCGACTCTGGAGGGACGTGATGGGCATCCTGGTGAGTTACCTGGGGAGGGGACGCGCGGGAAGCGTAGCCGCAGCCGTCCCTCTGGGACCGACTTCGCCCTTGTCGCCCACCCACTGGGCAGCCCCACTCCTCAGACTCGTCCTTCCCGTGCTCTAGTGCTTAGGGGGTTAAATACACAAGGTATTGGATTTCAATCCCTAATTAAAAAATAACCAGCCGCAGATCACATCAAAGATACTTGTTAAACAACCGGGTACGATATTCAACAGTTTAATGTGGGACACCTGCTGAGAGGTTGGTGTGGAAGAGGCTAAATAAGAGTCCTTCAAAGAAGTAGATGTAAATAAACAATACTCGGTGGATGTTGGATTTGGGGAAAGGCTGATGTTACTGATGTTTATCTCTTCACCATTTGTTGTGTGACCAGGAGAGAAAAACAACCATTTCCTTACTCAGAACCGCCAAAATGTTTGCTTACTCTGTTTGCAGTGTTTCGGTTTGTAGAACTACAGGATATTTGTTTTATATGTTTGGGGCTAAAAACAATAGGACTTATTTTGCTAAATCTGTCCTGTCATGGATTTTGAAATGTCCAGTGACCAAAACCACCCATGGATTTGGCATAGTTTCTGGAAAACAGTTCTTAAATCCGTGGAGGATGAAGCTTTAACCTGCTCAGGGTTTAATACCTCCGGGGAATGAGTAGATTTATTTTGGTGGACCTGTAGTTAGGCAGGTAGACCGAATTGGATGGATGGGGGTTATTGCAGTCAAACATCTTAATCCACACATAAAAGGGCAACTTTAGTTTAAAGATTTGGAATTGCCAGATGTGTAGATTGTTGGAAAAAGGTCTAGATTTACTTTGAGATATTTTGTTTGTCAAACGGGAGGAGATGCCTTTTTTTAGAAAGAAATTCTTCTTTGGGAATGATAAACACTGCATGGTTTTTAGCACGGTGATTAAGCTCTTGGGCTTTGAAGTAAGTTAGGCTGGGTCAAACTCCAGCTTTCCAACAGACTGCGTGATCTTGGCCAAGTTATTCAATCCCTCTCGTCCTCCGTTTCATCACCTGAACAACGAGGAAAAGAAGACTTGCTTCTTGCATTTTCTGAGATTTAGCTGAACTGATATGTATCAAGTGCTTAGCATACTGTTTGGCATATAGTAGATGCTAAGTAAATGTAGCTCTTTCTATTCTTTTCCCCTGCAGATAGAGTCTCGTGCCTCTTCTTTCCAGACATCCTAGAGTCCCAGTTACTCTGTTTTCAGGTGTCCATTGGTATTATGATTATTACTGTACAGAGAACCAGGGAAGGTTGGCTAAAGATTTTTATCTGCTCTTCTTACCAGTATTTAAAAAATGTATGTACATATATATACAACGTATATTTATGCACTATATGTTTTGTATATAAAAGTTTGTTTTTGCATTTTTGAACTATACAGATGAATGTGGTCCTTCACTGAAATTCCAGAAAACCCAATGAACATTTTAAAGTTGTGGTGACATTGTTTTTTAATTTCATCAAGCAGGACACTCATCTTGTTATTTCTTGCTTAGATCCAGCTCTGTAAATTTTAAGTCCGAAAGGAAATTCATTTGATAACATCCCATTGCATCCCTTAGTAGGGTGTGGGCTCGGGGCTGGGGAGGGTCGGTGGGCTGGCTGAAATGGAAGTTGGACTGTGGGTTACTTTGGGGAGGAGGGTTAGCAGGGGCATTTTCTGAAGATTTGCTTTCTCTTGCCTGGCAGATTCCAGCACTGTTGGGTCAGTTGTAGCAAAGTGTTCTTTGGCGAAGTTAAAAATTGGGGTGGAGCCCCAGAAGTTCAAACTTGTTATTCAAAGGGCAGATGCAGGAGCAAAGTATGTACTTCTTACAGAGCTAATAGTTTGTCATGAGGCTGGAAAGAACATAAAGCTTGTCCCAAACAGGTTATGTCCCTTGCGTTTTCCCATTCTTTGTATGGGGTAAACGTGGGCATCGGGATTATTCCTTAGTAAAATTCAGAGGAAAAAGACATGGCTGAACTCTCCTTTGTGCAAACCGTGTAGGGAGACACAAGGTTAAAAGGGAAGATCTTCTCTCTGCTATTAGAAAACCATCATTCAAGTGTTTATAAAAACTGCATCTTTGGGGAAATATATCAAGACACAAACCTGACAGTTGACTTTCTCTATTCTTACTGAAATAAAAGCCACCATTTCCTTCATTTTTGTATTTACAATATAGGATTTTGCAATCACCTATCTGCCTAGAGTGGTGAAGTGACTTGACCTGTGGCACATACCTTGTCGGTGCCAAAGTCAGACTCGACCCCAGGTCCCTGGCCAGGACCAGTCTCAAGCCTGATGCTGGGATGCTCCATAGTTAACTATCTCAGATCAACTTAGTAGAAATGTAATTTCCAGTATTTTCTGTACAAAGCAGTTTGAAAGATTCTTTTCCCATATTCAACTTGAAGAGGAGAGTGGAGGTAATGGGGGAAATCTGTGTCTTAACAGATTTCAGGCACAGTACTTTATTTTTTTATATTCTTATAAATGTAAAAATCAAACTTCGCAGCCTAGTAGGTAAAGACATTTTTCAGGTGAATGAGCACAGTTCCTCTTTTCTGACAGTGCTGAGCAAGTCCCCTCACCCCCAGATTTTGTTGGTTATAACCCAGTGAAGGGTATTGCCCCGGAGTCATAGATCTCAGTAAATACGGTATGGTTGTTTGTTTGAGTTCATTAGGACACATTTTGCATTTAGATTAATTCAGTCCATGCACAGTTAAGCACCAAATAGTTGCTTTCAGATAATTGTTAACAAAGTGCTCATTTAGAGAAGAAATAATAGTATAATTTACAGCATGAAAATGTTTGAGCCATGCTAGAATAAATAAATGCTAATAAGTGAATATATAAATAGATATAGAATTAAGAGAAAATGAGCTTACAAAAGAAATGCTAGACTGTGAGTGCCTGGAGGGCAGGGTCAATATCTTACTCACTTTTCTATCTCCAGTGCCTGTGACTTACTGGGTTCTGAGAACATAGTTTTGTTGATTGAAAAAGGAAAAAAATATGTGCTTCTTAAATGCAGGCGTCACACCAAAACACCATTCTGTAAAGACTTAAGTACCCCCTACAATGGGGTGCTTTTACGAAGATGTTAACAAATTCTGCTCAGGCTGAAGCTACTGTTTAGGCAGTTTGATCATGCAAATTAAAATCCTGGTGCTTCCACTGGAAACTGTAATGGTAAATTGCAAAATGTTTGTAAGCCCTGGGCAATTAAACCATAGCGTTCTTGTGAAATGTACTGTACTATTCATGAACTGCAACCTGTGGTTGGCCTGGGTTTTCAAAGCATGTCACCTTTTCCTATGACATGCTTAGACTTCTGCTGAGAAGTGCAAAATGAGTCAGAATCCTGTGGGATTTTACTCTTTTATCTTTACTTTATGATTGCAGACACACCATTCCTCTTTTTGGTGGGGAAGGGTAGTTATTTTTAAGAGTAGGAATTGCTAAGGTTCTTAGATGCTGGTTAGATATGGTAGATCATTTTTTTCAGGACTGATTATCCACTTGGTAAATTGTGATGGTTCTTTAGCTTCTGCCTCCAGAATTTGGGGTCCTTTAAAGCTGAGCTAAGTCTTTAAAGCTACTTGTAAACTGGGAGGCGGGTTAGCAGTGCCTATTGTTTGTAGGATCCTGCAAGATGCTCCTCCCCCAACCTGAAATTTCCTCTGTTCCCTGCTCTATTCTTACAATTTACACCCGTTTCCCAGCAGGCTCAGAAAATATCCATTGTATAGAGATACTCCGAACCTTCCTCTACTCTGAGTCCTATACAAGCTAAAGAAAACGATGTAGTAAGCTTCAGTCCACAGAACTGTCACATTTATCCTCGCTATTTACTCCAGTCCTAAATACAAACAAAACCCAAAACAAATAAAAACCCCAACCCCCCTTCTTTCCTTTTGTTGTTTTAGGCCAAATGTGGGGGAGGGGAGATGTTAGTGAGATCCTGAGGGGCCTTCTAAAATCTAACTCCTTGGAAAGCAGTTAATTTACATATTCTCTTGAGAGGTTTCTTGAGTTAAGCCTATCAGCTAATGACTTAATTAATTGTGCATCTTGGAATTTGAGAGTCAGCTCGTTTCAAATATTCTGACTTCATCTTAATTTTATGTGCCTTCTAGCCAGCTGAAAGCCTCGCAGATTTTTTAAGTGGAGAAGGTGCAGGGTAATGTACTGGAAGAGACTGTAGTGCCTTTGGAAATGAGCCCTCAACCCCCTTACTCGGAGAGGAGGGCTCCAAGGGCTCTGGGTGTCATGACTTGCTCAAGGTAACAGAGTAGGGGCCAGAACTCAGGCATTCGGATGTTCACTTCTTTGCGAAAGACAAAGTTAATGGCTTTCATGATTTTGGCTGAGGTCGCTGAATCTTTTCCTGCCAGAGGAGGCTCTTGCGCTAAAATACCTTCTTTCAGGGTCCCCTCCTGCCACCTTTCTGCCTTCATTTGCTGTCTCTACCTTCGTTCTTTTGCTCAGCCATGCAAGTGTTCCCTCCACTCCTTGGACTATTACTGATGTCCTTGTTTTCCATGGTTGACTCCAACTTCTGATAGTAGAATGCAGCTCTACGGGGGTTGGGGGCAGCACTTGGAAGACAGAATTCCACTGCTGTGCTGCGCACTTGGAGAACCGCACCTCACTTGATCCTCAGTAAGTGTGGCCAGTGGGTATTATTGTCCCCATTTTACAGTTCAGGATGTAAACGTGTGTGCTAAATCATCCAGATATAAACGGAGACGCTGAGAGTTGGAACATGTATTTCCCTGAAATTGATTTCTAGTTGCAATGTTATTTCATTTATTTTTAATTAATTAATTATTTATTTTTTGAGGCAGGGTCTCACTCTGTCACTCAGACTGGAGTGCAGTGGCGCCGTGATAGCTCACTGCAGCCTCACACTCCTGGGCTCAAGTGATCCTCCTGCCTCAGCCTCCCGAATAGGACTATAGGTATGCAC